GTTCGGGTCTTCCTGCAAGGTAACACCAGAGGCAAACATGATCAAATATTATCAGCATCGTCAGCCATGTTCTATCCACTGCTATATGAAGACCTCCCCTACCCCATCACTGTCTCTTTCGCAGTCCTTGTTGTCCCACAATTCTTTTCACTCCTGCAAATGAGCTCATCACCCTGGTCTGTCTTCAATAACTGCCATAGGCACTGTGTGTGTGTGTGTATGTTGAACTTTTTGCGTATCGTACGTAGCCAACCGTTGTACCCCTTTGCGTGTTCCAGCAATTACTTCCTTTTGTTCAGCAAAATTGTTGTACGTGACGTTTTTTTTTAAATCTCGTTAAGTTCTTCATTTGCTGGAGTTCAAGTGTTATATTAATGGCTATGCAATATGCAACTTTGGGATGGTTACTACTTTCACCATTTATATTGATGCCTTTTATATCAGTTTTTCTCAAAACACATTCCTGCGGAGGGAGCTGGTAGGAACGTTGGGTTGCTCGGTCAAGGGCCAGGGTCAACGGCGGCGTGGTGTATTCCGCAAATATGCCCGACTGTGAGGGCAGGCACAAGCCGGCGTGAGTAGGTTAAACGTTGAGTTTGATAAGGGCACCACGGGGTGACCAGCCCCTCCCCACCCAGCCCCACCCCTCCCACCCCTCACCCAGCCCCACCCTCCCCACCAAGCCCCTCCCCACCCAGCCCCTCCCCACCCTCCCCACCCAGCCCCACCCTCCCCACCCAGCCCCTCCCCACCCTCCCCTCCCCACCCAGCCCCTCCCTGCACGACGGACGGACACAATAATCCCCAGGAGGTTCCTACCAGTAATATCTTCTGTTCTAACATTGTAGAGAGAATATCTTCTTACTTGGCTATTCGTCTGATTTGTACTTTGTTACTTTGTTATGCAGTCTCAATAGTCATGATAGGTAGTTTTTTTTATAGTTGTTTATTAAGTGTCGGTTTGTGGATGAATAAATAGTTTCTGCTCAATTGGTTGTCTTTACATAATCTACAAAAAGCCACGCAAAGTGTGACTTGATATTCTTGATATGTTTATCTGTCTCTAATGGAATCTCGTTGATATCATGCCTTGAGTGGTAGTATACACATTTTATAAAACCAGCTATATCCGTCTGTTTAGAATTCCTCCGAGTGATGATGCCTCTATTATATATATCGTGGTTCCATCTTGCTTAGCTAGCACTTATATTCGATGTTAACCAATCATCGACTTTCTTTTGACTGCTTTCATGCTCCCACTGGTTGTTATGACATGTTCAATCATGTCTGTGGTATGTTCTCAAAATTTTTTCCTAAGTTTTTGTCGAATGTTTTTACAGAGTTTTCGTTTGACATTTTTTTTATCCCCTCTCCTATCTGATTTTCATCGATGTGCATTTTGCGGCTTCAGAGATGTCTTCTCTTCTGGTGTTTTATATATTTTGCCCTCTGATTTGAGTCCACTGTCCACTACAGTGTTAGTTATCTCATTAATTTAAAAAGTTGTGATATTCATTCACTGACTTTGCTTACTCATTTTGCTCCTATAGTGAGGACTGAGAGAGGAGAATTATTATTTGAGTTCACGGACATCACTGACATGAAGTTTAACGAGTCTACAGAATGGACATGAGGAGTCTAAGTGGATCAATGACAAATCATATTGGCTTGTTTCTCACGGACGAACCCAAGATTGTCAGAGATCGCTTTGTCCTCAGCAACTCTAGAGCAGGAAGTAATCACGGGCTGGTGCAATACAAGTTACATTTCAAACATTGGCAAAGAGAGGACGGAACTAATTGCAGCTAATTACCAAGACGGCTAACATCAAAACCGGGTTCAGGAAGTGGCCTAGTTTGGACTGGTTATAAGCAACAGATTCCAATCCCTGTACACAAACAGGGTACAGTAAAATAAATTCCAATACAAGAAATGTATAGGTTTGCTTTTACTTAAACATCTGCAAGGAAAACATCTGCACAGAAAATGAATGCCAAAACATATTTCCATATCGTTTACGTTACGTCTAAATGCAACTGGACACCAAGCAGCTGTACAGAAACTGGCTTACGTGTATCATGAAGAGCAAAAGGAAGGAGTCTATATATTTTTAAAGCAAAGTGCAACTGAAAACACATACGTAGAGGAGAATAGGAATGTCTTGAGCCTGGAATTTAACAGTGGCAGGGAGTCAGTAGCACGCCTTTCGTTTTTGTTGTACTCTTATAACTTTTTGGCGTGCCCCCGACTGGACGTCTGTGAAAAAGAGCTTCATAGCTCATAGGATTTCTCTAGGATAAATAAAAGTTCCAGATCATGCAGCCAGCAACAGCAAAGGGGAGTGACCTCCCATGGACTGGAGAGTTATTAAAGGTTTTGCCAAAAGGCCTTGGTGGCTGGAGTGGAGTCTTAATAATATATGCGGTATAATTATCAAGTCCTAAGCATATGAGTCATTTTACAACATGAACTTGTGATGGTGAGAGCACATGTACTATCAAAGTTAAACTCCGGCCTTGTGGCCGACGAAACGACCTGTGACTGTGAATGCTATTGAACCAGTTTGCACCGAGCAATCAGAGTGCCAACACTGCCTGATAATTTCTAAACTAAACTATGAACTTTTTTTTATTCAACCAGGTAAGCTCTTTTTCAGAAGCGACATGGCCACAAATGATAGTTCAACAAAGTGGCTTATGTGGAAATTTATAACAGCTAAATACTCTTATGCGCATTTTTTGAAAAGTGGAGGGAAAAACCGGAGAACCCGGAGAAAAATACACGCAATCACGGGGAGAACATGCAAGTCCACAGGTGTTAGCGTCGAGATCCAACCCACAACCTCCTGTATAGCAGGCGAAGTAGTTAACATCTCGCCACCCTGGCGTCACCTAACTATGCCATCTGGTGTTGAAATCGCCGAAGACCGTGTCAGACCACCATGGCACCTGATGCCAGCTGATGACATCCGCGCTGCACACAGACATTGAGCTTAATATGCATCCTTCCGCACCGCTCTGCACGTGCTGCATTTCCAATTCCCCATCACTTAGAATTCACGGCACACTTGTGCGTGCTTCACCGGGCGCACGGTGCTCTGTAACCAGAGCAGGTGGAGCTACGTTGTCATTGTGGTATTGGTGAAAAGGTGAAATGGAAAGCCGCAATTTAAAAATATAAACATTGTGGGTTGCAAGCAGTCACACCGTGAACACAACCGAATGTCGTGTATGTTTAACGTCTTGGCATAGGCAGTGTTGTACTAAGTGATATATACAACACTTACTGTTTTTAAAAGCATATCAAATGTAGGCAAGAAGTTTGTTTTTATTTATATTACCCATTAATCATGAGTAAAAGGTGGAAGGAATAGATGTAGCCTTGCAATTGCCTGCTCATGCCCCTGTGTGTGGAAAGGTGTCCACTAGGGGCAGCTCTAGAGTAGCCACTCTTAGAGGATGTTTGGCCTACGCTTCCGCACTGGCTAGACATCCTGGAAGAGGTGGGGGTACCCACACTTTACCACACCACACGTGACCTGCAGAATCATTAACTGCGGTGTGACCCATTTCTACTGCTGGCTTACAGAAGCTGGGGATGGGGGAGGGGGCGGGGGAATAGGACAACTTGCCCGAACCATAGGTAATGTGTTGTAAGTGGATTAAGTCTCATGTTACGCTGAAAAGATGAAATACCTGCACTACTGTGCATATGTAATACTTTCCCTATTGTGTGGTGCTAATGGTGGTAGTGGTCTTGACTTGCCTGTCCCCTTGGCCAGGAGCAGTCTGTGGTGTGTGCAATAATACGCCCAAGTGCGGGGCGTGGGATATGCGTGTGCCTGCGCGATAGAATCACGTCCAGCACAGGAATGTGATCACCTGCGGTTCTTCCTGCCTCACGTTGGCCCGCGGCCTGAGCGTTGCAGTCTGCGTCCATGTCGATGTTGTGAATACCGAGGGGGTTAAATGTGATCCTGCTGCTCGGGCTGCTGTGCATTGCAACGGAGACATTTTATGCACCGTGATTGACACTGTCATTTTTTATCGTTTGCAACAATATGTCGGTCGTGTTCTGATTCGAAAGTGTATATTACACACAAGCGTGTGACCAAATCGACCGGGATGTACCCGAGCTTTATCAGATCTCGGAATCATGGATGGGTGACCATGATGCATTAAAACACGAAACTAAAACTAGATATTTTTACCAGGTAAGGCCCCACTGAGCTATCTAGCTCAGAAGCGAGCTGGTCACAAATGATAGCCCAATGAAGTGGCTTATCATGTGCAAATGAATTGAAGCCAAATCCTCTAATCGCATGTTTCTAAATGTCGAGGGGAAAAAAACCGGTCGGACCCAGGGAAACATCCACACGACCACGGGGACAACATGCAAACGCCACAATGCAGGTGTCAGGGTCGGGATCCAACCCACGACCTCCTGTATACCAGGCAAGGTGGTTAATATATCGTCACCGCGGCGAGATGTTAGCAAGTGTCATAGACTGATACGGTCATACAGGGATATGTCAGCAGAGGGCAGTGCCGCGGAAGCCAATGTTTTACTGTACCATATTCCAACATCTATGCTTCCCACCTTCATCAGTTCACACGGAGCAGTGTGTTGTTCAAGATGTGCTCGTATATATTCGAAATTATTTAACACGTTCCTTCGGGGTGGGCAGGTAGGAACTTGGTTGGACAGCGCATTCGTGCACGACAGAAAGCTCGCGATCACGTGACTCACTTCAACCAATCCGGGAGCGTTTGGGAGGGGCTATGCACGACAGACAAATAATCCCTGGTGTTGTTCCTACCTGTAAAAACCACACGTACATTGAGATTGATGTGTTGTCTTAAAAAAATAAGGGATTTACGCTGTATTGCCCTTGCATGGAAATGAGTGCTTGAAATACATTGTAACTGCTTATTATTTCCTATCTTCTGCATAACTTATCTTATTTCTATCACATGTTGTCATCGATGGTCTCCATATAGATTGACGGACGTCACAATGGCATGACGGCAAAGGCATCAGAAGCCCTCAGGCCTCGGCGCACTATTGCTCAAGACAATTGTGCCTGGAGACGCGGATAAATCCATACCACATCGGTGTCCCACGGAGAGCGTCATGAACTCCCACAGCCAGCCAGGTGAGAGCCCGTGCTCCAGCCGCTCGGTACCGTTGTACCGTCTCGTCTTTCTTGGTATTAGCTTGGGTGTCTAAATTGTGTGCGTTCTGAGAAAGCTTCACTTTTATTGTGCTTGCAGTTCTCACGAGAGCCAGAGCATTCCATTGAGGTGTAATCACAGGTCCAGGCGCCCTGGCTGCTTGTGTAAGAGTTGTGCACATTTTTAGTAAATTGGCATTTTCAACGTTGTCCCCCCTCAGCACTCCTACCCATATTTACTTATATCGCTAATCTGTTATGTTTAACTTTTGACATTTCTCCCAACGTTTTTCCACAGCCAACTGGTTCCGTTTCCAATCCGCACAGCCATGCCACGGTTGCAGCTTGTTCTAGCTTCACTTGGAGTAAACAAGTTGAAAAAATGCAGTGTTTTTATGTCAATGCTAAAGAAATGTGGCTTGCATTAAGAGAAAATGTGGCACATTTATCAGGGCGTATATCATCGGAGAGTAAAACTCACGAGTGACCTGAATTTAACGACGTGAGATTTTTATGGCCAAAATGTAACTTCTCCATCTCTTCAACGACAGGTCACAAGTTGTCACATCATTTCCACTGCTTCACCCACCACCACACACTCTCATTGCTGGACCTCAATAAAACACAGATATTCAAAACATCTGTTTTAAAGAGAGAGTCTTATTAAAGGGTTTGGCTTATAAAAAGCAACTTTTGTTTCAGATATAGGAATTAAAGATGAAAATATAATATTCCATGGCATCTGTTCACCTTCTGCATGATGTAAAGACATAATTGCTTTGTGTCAGATGCTATACAGAGGTTCTTTGTTTAGTCCACAGTGAATCATTGTAATTTGTAAGCACAACATTTAGGGGTACTTAAGAAAATATTTTAACATATCTTAATTTACAGATACACTGCTACATTCGTGCTTATCGCTTCAAATTCGCATGCGCAATTGATACAGTATTCAAAGCCAAAGGGAAACTCACAGAGAGGTCTGGTTACAATTTAAACGTTAGGCCAATCATTTGTTAATATTCATGGCCACAGTCTTGCAAACGTCCTTATTATTTTGTCTACTGGTTTTCATTGTGGACTTTGGGAGCACCTAAATTAACTCAGAGGCAGATACGGTTTCTTGATTTCTAAAAATTATTTGGTGTTTAAATTTCTTTATCTAAACGCCAGGCTATTGCCACCAGAATGTTTAAACAATTAAGGACGTGCAGTGCACAGGTATACAGTGAGGGAAAAAAGTATTTGATCCCCTGCTGATTTTGTGCGTTTGCCCACTGACAAAGATATGATCAGTCTTTAATTTTTTTATGATAGGTTTATTTGAACAGTGAGAGACAGAATAACAACAAAAAAAATGCAGAAAAACGCATGTCAAAAATGTTATAAATTGATTTGCATTTTAATGAGGGAAATAAGTATTTGACCCCTCTGCAAAACATGACTTAGTACTTAGTGGCAAAACCCTTGTTCTTGGTTCTTTCGGTAAAGTCACGTAGAAGGGAAGTAATAAAATAATAAAAATAAAACATAATAAAATAAAATAATTCTCACGACGTTTCGGCTACAACGCAAGCAGCTGAAGACGGCTGCTTGCGTTGTAGCCGAAACGTCGTGAGAATTATTTTATTTTATTATGTTTTATTTTTATTATTTTATTACTTCCCTTCTACGTGACTTTACCGAAAGAACCAAGAAGATGGATCCCTGCAGTCACGAAAGCTTTAAATCGAAAAATAAAACCCTTGTTGGCAATCACAGAGGTCAGACGTTTCTTGTAGTTGGCCACCAGGGTTGCATACATCTCAGGAGGGATTTTGTCCCACTCCTCTTTGCAGATCTTCTCCAGGTCATTAAGGTTTCGAGGCTGACGTTTGGAAACTCGAACCTTCTGCTCCCTCCACAGATTTTCTATGGGATTAAGGTCTGGAGACTGGCTAGGCCACTCCAGAACCTTAATGTGCTTCTTCTTGAGCCACTCCTTTGTTGCCTTGGCTGTGTGTTTAGGGCATTGTCATGCTGGAATACCCATCCACGACCCATTTTCAATGCCCTGACTGAGGGAAGGAGGTTCTCACTCAAGATTTGACGGTACATGGCCCCGTCCATCGTCCCTTTGATGCGGTGAAGTTGTCCTGTCCCCTTAGCAGAAAAACACCCCCAAAGCATAATGTTTCCACCTCCATGTTTGACGGTGGGGATGGTGTTCTTGGGGTCACAGGCAGCATTCCTCCTCCTCCAAACACGGCGAGTTGAGTTGATGCCAAAGAGCAAAATTTTTGTCTCATCTGACCACAACACTTTCACCCAGTTGTCCTCTGAATCATTCAGATGTTCATTGGCAAACTTCAGACGGGCATGTATATGTGCTTTCTTGAGCAGGGGGACCTTGCGGGCGCTGCAGGATTTCAGTCCTTCACGGCGTAGTGTGTTACCAACTGTTTTCTTGGTGACTATGGTCCCAGCTGCCTTGAGATCATTGACAAGATCCTCCCGTGTAGTTCTGGGCTGATTCCTCACCGTTCTCATGATCATTGCAACTCCACGAGGTGAGATCTTGCATGGAGCCCCATGCCGAGGGAGATTGACAGTTATTTTGTGTTTCTTCCATTTGCGAATAATCGCACCAACTGTTGTCACCTTATCGCCAAGCTGATTGGCGATGGTCTTGTAGCCCATCCCAGCCTTGTGTAGGTCTACAATCTTGTCCCTAACATCCTTGGAGAGCTCTTTGGTCTTGGCCATGGTGGAGAGTTTGGAATCTGATTGATTGATTGCTTCTGTGAACAGGTGTCTTTTATACAGGCAACAAGCTGAGATTAGGAGCACTCCCTTTAAGAGTGTGCTCCTAATCTTTGCTCGTTACCTGTATAAAAGACACCTGGGAGCCAGAAATCTTTCTGATTGAGAGGGGGTCAAATACTGATTTCTCTCATTAAAATGCAAATCAATTTATAATATTTTTGACGTGCGTTTTTCTGGATTTTGTTGTTGTTATTCTGTCTCTCACTGTTCAAATAAACCTACCATTAAAATAATATACTGATCATTTCTTTGTCAGTGGGCAAACGTACAAAATCAGCAGGGGATCAAATACTCTTTTCCCTCACTGTAACCTCTGAGCTTGGCTGGTCGCTGCTTGATTAGGCATTGGCCAGCGAGGGTCTCTGTGGTGTGTGTCGTATTATTTTAGTAAGTCGCATGCCACGTGTGCCTTCGTGGCCCACTCCAAGAGGCTGCTGGTGTCAGATGGCCGAGGATTTTTCATTCAGCTAATTTAGTGTTAGGTAAATCAATGGCACGAGCAAATCACTTTCCATTGAATCCAGGGCACCAGTGACCAGCGTATGCAGCTTTGCGGCTCGGCTTGCTGTGGAAAGGAACTTGGTAAAATGCTAATCGTGCAATTAAGAAACATTTGTTTGAATACGCTGGACTGTGCTGCATATTAGCATTTAGAAATAACCATAATTTTTTCATGTGCTGGCCATGATGTGCCCCGCAATTATTCAGTTTTACAGTGCGTCGCATTTCAGTGGGTATGTAAAACAGGACCTGTGGTGCAGGGGGAATAATCTGTGTTGGTCCACACAGCTATCACCCCCATTAACCCGACTTCAGGCACTGGGCAGGAAATTTAAGGTATGTTGTTGAAACCCTGGGGAGAAAAATGAGAAAGAGTATTCACTTTCTCTGGTCTTTGCACATTCGCAAGAACAATACGTTTTATTGTGCCCCCTTTGGGTTACCAGTAGCAATGTAATGGTTAATTTTTACTTTTGGCACAGTGTTTTTCATCTTTGAGAATATCAGTTATGGCACAAGATGGAGGCGAAATACGTGGGTGCGTCGTTTGGAATGGAATGCCTGTGGGATTGCAAGTGCTATCGAGGCTCATAGACGCAATACGACTCGTGATTCCTGGAAGCATTGTAGTAAGAGTTGTCTGTGTAAGCCTTGTGCCGTTGCCAGCAGCTCCTAGAAGGGAGAACATCTTCGTTCTGTTTTTTTTTTTCCCCTGGCGTAAATTAATTGGGGCAAATTAGCAATGTTTAAAAACAGCCGATGTATATATTTTTGACGAAACTACTGAAACCATTCGCCCGTGCCATTAGCCCTTTTCCAGCGCGTGCGCGCGTATCCTATGCGATGGGTGCACGAGGCTAACACCGCAACTCCAATGATGACACGATGCTGTGACATTTGAAATTTGGCAGGAGTTGCTATTAACACCCCAATAAAACAAGTATTATTACAGTGCACCCGGCTATATTTGCTGCAGTGCCGAGCATTGCTCGGCGATTCCCACGTGGCACGTCGAAAGCGGGTTTCTTACCGCATAGATAAGAACATTTGTTATTGCGCACTCTTATGAGTTCAGTCCATATTGAATGCACATCGATGACACAGTGAAGTAGGCTCTCTGAAACAACACTGTTTAGAGTCTGTTGCAGAACTGGCTCATACTTAGGGATGGATCCCGAACATGAGCTGGTAGCGTGTTCTAGGTCTTTGGGCCGGAGACCCCAGAAATTGCGCTGACCGTATCGTGCGCGGTTTACACGTGGGTACAGCAGGTCGCCGCGAGCCACGGTTCGTAGTCGGTTAAATTTGTGTTTACTTTAACCCGCATGTCTCGACGTAAGGCTGTACAATTAAATTAACACGCAAACAAACATGCGCTGTGTTTTTTTTCCTGCAGCTATCATGTGCTTTCTGTGTATTTGACTAACTCGGCTGTGCATCTTGGCCCCCCCGTGTCACATTATCCTGACCAGTCGCTGCGAATATATATTTTGTCACACCGTTCGAAGCATTCATATTCTGTGCCGCATTAAGCATCTGTTAGGAAATGTTCGAAATTCTGCCGGCCGAGGGCAATTACATCTGTTGTTTATCAAACCCACTCCTTTGTGCGCCTGGATGGATAAAACAAAAAGCTGCACCTGGCTGATGATGGTCAGCATTGAACTGTGTGTTTA